GAGTTGGGTGGTGCGGGGTGGGGGTAGTTTCGGGATGATTCAAGCACATTACATTTATTGTGCACTTTATTTCTGTTATTACGTATTCACTATAATGTAGGATCAGTGGGAGCCTTGAGCTTGTTTTCCTGCAACAAGACGGTCCCATCTGGGGATGATGGGAGACAGTGACAGATCATCAGGCATTGGATTCTCATAAGGAACATGCAACCCAGATCCCTCACATGCACAGTTCACAGTAGGGTTCGTGCGCCTATGAGAATCTGATACTTCCGCTGATCTGACAGGAGGCAGAGCTCAGCTTCACTCACTTACCTGCCACTCACCTCCTGCTGTGTGGCCTGGTTCCTAACAGGCCATGGACCAGCAGCGGTCCATGGCTTGAGGACTGGGGACCCCTGGCCTAGACTATTTGTCTATTTTAAATCTGTGGAGGAAAAGTACTTTAGGCACGTTGGAGGAACAGGTTCCTAAAGTCATTCTTTGAGCTGTTTCTCTTTAAACCAGTAGGATTTAAAATTAGGATGATGTCCTTTCCTTTACTACTCTTTAATACCTCTAATTCTTATCATAGACACTTCAACAAACAAAAACCCGTTACCCTAGAACTTTAGAAATGTGTGTCCTGCGTTGACATCAACTTACACTTCCAGGAGGATAATAATACAGATAGCTGAAGAAGACGTAGAAGCCTCTCCACAGAGTAGGGTGCGGTCGGAAAAATTTCGGTAGGCAAAGGTTCCTTGGGGTTTTTTGAGTCTGTACCCGAAGGCACTGATGGTTCTTTCAAACAACCCTTCTTTGTCAGCATCACTAGGAGTTTCTGTTCTTCCAGCTCTCGAGGGCCTCCTGGGGATCTTGCTCTGTGCAGCTTTCAGTGTGTCCTTTGCACAAGCGGGGGACTGTGACTAAGAGCCTCCAGTTCTAATTGAGTAATGCATCCTGACAAAGACTTCCATTTGGGGTTCCTTTAAGGGGGAAGGGCATACTTCAGCGAAGAATTGCTGTGTATTTCCCACACCCTGCTCCCACTTCCTGCCTTCTGACGGCTGAAGGTCTTCAGGTTCTCTTTTTAGCACAATTCTTTAAAAATTAAATGAGACATGAAGTCGTGCTACAGAAGCAGGCTCCCTGTCCTGCCCAGTAGGGCCAGTGTGCAGATGGGGTCCCCTGTGATACTGAGATGGGGCCCCTCCAATGACAATTCTCTCAAATCCCCTTGATTTTTACTTACGTATTTATTGATTTTTAAAGTGGCATATAGTAATTGTACATATTTATAGGGTACGTGTGATATTTTAATACATGCATGCAGTGTGTAATGGTCAAATCAGGGTACTTAGGATATGCATCACATCAAAGAGTTACCATTTCTTTGTGTTGGAAACATTTCAAATCTTCTCAGTACTTTGAAATATACAGTATGTTACCATTAACTCTAGTCACCCTACTGTGCTGTTGAACACTAGAATTTATTCCTTCTTAACCAGCTTCAGAAGAGGATGAACCTTCTTCATCCTCGCGCCAAGCCTACTATCCTTTGCACAAGGTAATCACCTCTGGTAGTCACCATTCTCAGGTCTCCTTTCTTAGAATGGCACTGGATGGCTGTATGACTTATGACCGTATCTTTCTTTCAATGTGTTTTGATTTTAAAGGTCGTTACCAAAGCAGTTGCTTCTCAGCACTGCTGAAACAGGTGATAATAAAAAATGAAGCTGAATTGAATTTGAATTTACTTATCAGTCACTACAGTTGTAACAAAGGCAAGGAGCAGCCCTGTGGGCTTGTGCTTCTCTGAGCTTTCCCCACAAGCATCAGGGCTTCATTCTTTGCCTTGCAGGACTGATATAAATAGTAAGTGAAATAATATCTGCAAAGCAGCTAATGCTGTTTTCTTCCTCCTTTGTATAGTAATGATAATAATTTCAGAGTAGCCAATGCTTGGGAAATGAAAGTTGCAGAGTCTTGTGTTTACAAAGAGGGTTTATATTGTGTTTGTCCCTCAAAAGGTGGGGCTGGGGAGCCTTTACTGTGGTTTGAAATGGTCCTTCTACTGCATAGCCCAGAAACTCATTTACCAAGTTGAAGACAATGAGAACACCACTTTTCATGTATATGTGTGTGCATGTGTGCACGTGTGTGTGCACACGCGTGCGTATGTGTGTGTGCACATGTGTTTGTGTGTGTGCACGTGTGTTCGTGTGTGTGCATGAGTGCCTCTGTGTGTGTGTGTGTGTGTGTGTGTGTGTATCTGTCTGCCATTCCTTCCAAGTTCTTCCTCATGGATGAAGCACCCTCTAAACTCCACATGGGCTGGCTGAGACTGTGCTTTGAGGCCTCATTTAGTCATACGTAGTCGAGGGACTTCGGTTTCTGCCATAGAAGTTTTATTCATGTACATGGGTTTGTGGCCTGTCTGGAGTGCAAGGCTGAGGTGGGAGGAAGAGTTCCCTGGCACCTATCAGATGACAGCTTGTGGTCACAGTCCTTCCTCACCTGACAGCCACTAAGGAAGGAGGTCCCTATTCCCCTGCCAGGGGGACTGAACAAACACAGGGTTTATAATAACAACAATTACAATAATAATAGCAGTAGTAGTAATAGTAGCATTAGCTAACATTTATTGACTACTTGCCAGACACTATATTTCTTTCCATTTAATCCTGACCATAACTCTACGGTATGGAGACCATGATTATCCCCAGGAAACCAAAGCCCAGCAATTTACGCGATGTCAAACAACAGTGTATATGTACATATATACACTGGAGATGTCCACTTTCCTTTCCTAATAAAACTCCATGAGCCCTGCTTTTCCTCTCCAACTGAATACTTGGGTCCATTTGTATGTTTCCTCTCTGAGCCTCGTGAGCTGGGGATCTATGGAGAGCATCATTTGACATTTATGGCATTGTGTGGATACATTTGTGTGTGTCTTGTTCCCCAGATTAAAGAATAAGCCCCCAGTGGCCAGGGACCTTGCAGTTCTTTCTAGCTCTCCAGTGTGTGACTCAGAGCATGTCTCCTGAGTGGTCTGGGCCAAGGCGAGGGATGGCATCTACTTGGGCAGTGACACCAGGGAGGCTGCCCATGGGATGATTGCCACGTACACACTCCTCTTGTCAGGAAGACTGGTTACCCAGCTTCTCTGCTCAGGAGAGGTTTTGTGCAGCAAGTAAAACAAGCCTAGAGATGACACTAGACTCAGACACACTGCAAGCGGCAGGGGTGGGAGTTAGCAATCTGATGGTGGAGGAAACCAAAACATGCTAAGGGGTGAATCCCATTCTAAGGGAGCAAGCAATCTGGGGCCAGTTGGCATGGGAGTGAGCAGCTCTGCCTGCTGCCACAGGCCTGAAGACTTCATTGTGTGGCAGTATTTTTTTTTTTTTTTTTTTTTGAGCTGCAGTGCAATGGCGCGATCTTGGCTCACTGCAACCTCCGCCTCCCAGGTTCAAGCGATTCTCCTGCCTTAGCCTCCCAAGTAGCTGGGACTACAGGTGCCCACCACCACACCCAGCTAGTTTTTGTATTTTTAGTAGAGATGGGGTTTCACCATGTTGGCCAGGCTGGCCTCGAATTCCTGACCTCAGGTGATCCCACCGCCTCAGCCTCCCAAAGTGCAGGATTACAGGTGTGAGCCACCGTGCCCAGCCAGCAATATTTTTTAATTTGCCAAACACACACGGGCATGGGCACATATACATCATGTGTAAAAGTATAGGCCAGAAATGATTTAATCACTTTAATACTATTAACTCATTTAATTTTCAACAATTCTGTGAAATAGGTACTATTGTTCTCTTCATTTTACAAACGAAGAAACTGAGACACAGAGAGGTAATTTTACCAGGATCCCAGAGCTAGGAAGTCACAGAGCCAAGATTAGCACCCAGTCACATGACACAAAATAATCCATTTTGATAATGCTTAAATATTAGGAAAATGTAAAATATTTCTGTTATATAGATAATGTGACCAAAAAATATGTAATACATCTGAGAAATAGTTATATGCAAAATTATTATTATCGTTAAGTATTGGTACTCTTAGAAATAAGTTTCAGTTATTTTGAAAATTCTGCTTTTAAAAGAACATCCCCCACCCCCGCCAAAAAAGAAATGAAACATGTAGTGTGTATTTTAGAAGAAAAAGTTGAAGGAAACAAATGATAATAACACCTGACTTTTTAGAAAACCCTTATCTATGACATCAGAACACAGGCAGGACAGGTGCCTTTGTTGTTTACTATCTGTGATGGGTTACAGACCAAGAGAGTCATGTGTTTTGACCAAGACAAGCTGCCTTGGTTAAATGTGGATCCTTAAAGCCCAGCCCCAATCATGTCTTCATTGAGTTTATGACCTAGAGGAGAAAGGATAAAATATGTTCACAGGTAACCATTGTACATAGTCCTTAGAGCTTCAGATAACCTGTTTTGTTAGCAAATGAATCAGAAGCATCTTTGCCTCTCTTGTGCATCCCACACATACCAAGCATAGACCTGTTAGGCGTGTCTAAAGGATTCTTGTTTGTTGTTTTTTGTAATCCGTTTTAGAGTGAATTAAACTCAGACATCCCTGGATCGTATGCTCTCCCTCTGTAGAATGTTGAGTTTCAGGCACGGGGATGTAGCTGTAGAATGTGGCTTGTTCATTCTTCCTGATAAGAAATTGATCTCCTGAATGGATTGGCCATTTCGTAATTTCTTAGTGAAAGGCTGACTCTTGAATATGGCTATTATAATATAAATTCTTACCAACATAAAGGGCGGGCTTACTTGGGGCTTGGTAAAACTCTCATGCCTTGAGGTATGTGTAGCTTATAAATCAGCTAACATGTATTTATGACGTAGCTACCCCAGTGCCAGCTATCACTGACAAAGCCTGGATTCTGTTGCAAGGAGACACACTGAGAGAAAATTGATTACAAGTAACTATTTCAGGCTCTGCTTTGAATTTATCATTCACATGCTCTTTTTTCTTTTTCCCTCCAAGGGTCGGGATTACTGTTCGGAAGAAGAGGATATCACATAGCACCAATTTTACCACTCAAACCAGGAGCTACTACTGTGTAAATAGGTTACACCCCAGTTGAAATCTTTGCAAAGGTCGGTTCTATTCAGCGAACAGCACTATAGCAAAAGAAGATCGTTCCATATCGTACGCCCCATTAAATTACAGTGTTTCTTAATGAACTTGCAAAGGAATATTGCTAAAAACAAACAAAAAAAAACTGTTATCGAACTTTCTTTGTTGCTGCTAGTTAAAACTTGTTGCAACTTTTCACTTCTCTTGTGTCCAGGTATGCAGCAAAATTCTGCAATTTCACCTTAAAGATACTGTTGGTTTTACAGATGCTCTCCAACCTATTTTCTATAAGATGAGGTAGTGGTGAACTCAGATATCAAACTTCTCTTCTAAACTGGTTCTGCTTCTAAGACAAGCATCTCCTGCCCTCTCTCCTTCCTCCCCATCTCTCGCACGCAGTCTAGAGATGGACTGAGCCTTGCTTCTTACTGGCAGTGTTGAGCTTTGGAGATGGGATGGTTGCTATGCCAAGCCTTGTTTCTCTGCTCAGAAGAAGTAGAGAAGCTATTATCAATTAAAAGCATGCTGTGATGTGACTCCTGGAAGTGACATAGGAGTGAGTGGCAGGTTGTTTGATTTAATAGGTATCTTAATCAAGAATTAAGCTTGCAACATTGGCTTTGCTCAGATGCAGATGGAAGTGTGATCACAATCACTTTGAATCCCTCTTCCTCACTTTTTTTTCTAAGAAAATAAACATTTTACTGTTTTTATGGATCCTTGTCTTCTCCCATTCATCCAGCTCAGTGTTTTAAGATGATCCTGGGTGCAGAAGTTGAGCCCTCCTTTGCATTGACACTGATAATTAGCCTAAAGGGCTGCCTACCCTTCCATTAATAATTTACCAAGCATTAGCAAGGCTGAAAGTGGACTGAAGAGGTGAGGGGACATCCTATGACTTTTTAGGAGGGCCTGAAACCACCTTGTTACCTTTCATTTTGTTAGCAAATAAACCATCCTATTTCGTAACTCTCCCCCTTCAAAATGCTACATGAGCCTTGCCACTTCCTTTTTCCCTTACTTCCAGCACACTAGACATAGCAAAAGTGTTTGCCTACTCAACAACGTAATACTTTTATGCTTATGATGATATTTGGAGATGTGAAAGCCAAACGCCCCTGGCAATGGTGGGGAATGTTGACTGAGTGTTCAGCAGAGTTTATTTTTCCATACTATATGAAGAGAATGATCTCTTCTCAAAGACAGAAGTGATATTTTTAACAAATATTGTCACAAGTAAATAGCAATCAAAAGGAGAAAATAACTTTTGTATTTTTTTAATGTGTTTGATAGCTTTGACGAGGGTTCTCTTTGTTACTTTCAGGGGAGGGCATCCTATTAAATGCCACGCCAGCAGTCCGGGTTTGGGTTTGTCCCACAAAAAGACAGGAGCACTGTATGTTTCTCTCTTTTGGGGTTGTGACTTTGAAGGGCCTCGATGTTAGCCACCCGCAGAAGGTGGAGAGTTAAGATGTTCTGTGTCAATTTGCTCTTGCCGAAAAGATGAGCCTCGATTTTAAAATCTATCCACATAACTGAGGGCACCACTGATGTGCTAATAGTGAGATTCCCTATCTCCTTTTAGACCTGGGACGGCAAAAAGGAAGGGAAGGAAACTTAGCAGAGTACTAAGGACAATAGATTCACATATTAGCAACAAAATCCCGTAATTCTTTTGGCCAACAGCAGCTATTTTGGGGAGCAGCTGTGGCTGTTACATAAATAGAGATGCAGCCAAAATGTTAGGCTTTTTTATCCTGCTTCAAGTAGAAAAAATGCAGGGAGAGTCAAGTAGTCTCGGGTTTCAGGTTGCCTCCTCTCATACGGTTTTTGGCCAAGTGACTAAAATAGTTTTCCACAACTGTAAACGAACTGCTAAGCCCCACCTCAAACTTGTTCACTGGAGACTTTGTTCACTGTTCTGTGGATGACCTTTTCCGGGATTTCTTGTTCTTATCAAGCAAGAATTAAGCACATGCTAAACGTCTTCCATTTGATTTCTTTACTCGGTGTCTCACACAGTCTTCCCAGAAAACCACCACCCTCTACCCGAAGATGAAACATGCTCATGTCATTTCTCTCACGGTCACATTGAACACTTTTGACATGTTACACTTGTGCATAGATCCAAGCGTTTCTTGGGAACCTGACTTTTGAGTGTTTAATAAAGCCGGAAGTGATGTTGCCCTGAACCACCAGCTTTTCACCCGGGTTCTGGCTCTGGTGTTTAACACTGGATACATCTTTGTTGTGCGAAAGTAAGTTCTTCAGACACATTTGGTACATCCAGAAATCCGCATGAAATGCTTGATTATGTCAGCAACACCCAACACTGTCTGTTTTCCATTTGTTGGTTTTAATCATAAAATTGTCAAGTGATTCGTGTTTGTACTTTATTTTTTTATGCCTTCTGAAAGGATCTAAAGCAAAAATATTTTACCTTTTTTTCCCCATGTGTATGTGAACATTAAGCAGATTGGCTCAGACACAATGAAAAGAATAATCCAATGTATGTGCTGGTGCACTCTGCTAGTTGTTATATGTATGGGGCTCAGGAAGCTGGAAGGAGGAAGGGAGGGGACGTGGCCTGGTGAGTGGAGGTAGAAAAATGATGAGAAATGAACTGAGAGCATTAAGCAGAGAGGGTTGATAGACTGGCCGTGTGCGGGGTGAAATTGAAAATCCAGCTGCCTAGTGGCCAGTGGGTGGGGCAAGACTGTCAACAAGATTTACAGCTGGCTTGCACATGCCTTATGTCCTCTGAGTTGTAGAGTTGTAAAAGTTCAGCAGTGTGTGCACAGCTCTCTTTTGGTTGGCGGAGATTCAGGATCATGGAGTACTGCTCTCATAATTGAAGACGTGTTTGGTATTGGCAGAGAACCTTAAAAAAAGCCTTTACCTCAGTGATGCTTCCTAGCCCCAGGCTTGCAGAGAACACAGAGTGGTGTTGTGGTCTATTTAGGGACAAAGAAGGTATAAAGTCCAGAGATGAGAAAACTAGGTCAGTCCTCAGAAACGGCAGCAGCCACGCACACTGCAGCCTGCTGGAAGACGGGTCTCTCTCCGTCCACAGTGCCCATGATCTGAGCCTGGGCTGGAATGACTCAATTTAGCAAAGACGGACCCAGGAGGAGGGCTGGTTCTTCAGTCTTTGTACTGGCCCCATCCGCTCCTCACTGTAAGGTGAGGAAGCACCTCTGTATCAGGGCTCACCTGGGCATCTGAAGCGGCCACGCCCACAAGCCGACAGCCCCCAGGAGCAGGTCCAGGGATGATGCAGTCCCCTTCTTAGTCCCATGTGATGTCATCCTGCTTTGTTATCTTCTTATAACTTTATCCTGCTATAACTTTATCCTCTTCCCAGCCTCATCCCTGTTTTTCTCTTAGGGCAAGACTCTCCCATAAGCCTGCTAAAAAACAGAGATGATACCTCTTACAAACTTTACCTCGTTGCCTGTGAAGCAGATTGGCATGTGGATTACAAGTCCAGCTTTGACACTGGGCAAGAATTTAGAAGTGTTCTATCTCTACTAGTCATAGAAAAGAAACATGGTTAAACATGTTGAGTTTTAAAGGAAGAAATATTTTCAAATTCTTAATCCAAGAAAATACTGAGTTGGAATCTTAGACTTCGGGACTCTGATATGTTCTTTACGAAAGGCAAAATAATTGGTATCTAAAGTTCTGTCCTTCCTGCCTCCCCTAAAGAAAAAGGATATTAGATTGCACGCTACAGTTTTACGTAAGATCTGCCTTCCATGCTTCCCTGCTGGAAGGCATTCTCAGAGCTTTATGTCTTCATACCTCTCAGAGATTGGACTTTTTGTTGTTTAAAACCCCAACCAAAAAAATAATAAGGCATGATTGGTGGGGAGGGAATGTGTATTTAGGGGCATAATGAAAAGGTGGCTTGAAGCAGGAACTTTGGCCTCATGATATCATGAGTGGATGCCTGGACTCCAGTGTGCCTAGGAGGAGCTGGGTTAGGCAGTTGGCTGTCACACTACACATGTGCCTGCAATAAACCTTTTGGAGTTCCATCAATGAGGTCTATAAATTGCCTTTTGCCAATGAATGGATGTGTTTTTCCAAGGGGGGAATGGTATCCTTGACTTTAGCAGTCACCTTTTTGTATGTCTCTGGAAAAGGGTCAAAAAGCTATGGTAAAGATGAGGCTTATGAGTGAATTGCTCTGGGACAAACCTTAGGACTCACAAGCTATGCCATGTTTTTCAGGAGACTCTTGTACCTTATCTGGAATCTACTCTCAGGAGAAGAGGAAAAAGGAACTAATATTTGTCATTTATACTCACTCTGTGCCAGATACTGTGCTAGGCATTTTATAATTGTTTTGTGTCATCCTCCTGATAATCCTGTGAAGTGGATCTATTACCCCCACGTTCTAAATAATAGATCTTAAGTGTGGAATGCATCTATCCAACGTAAATGCCTATGTTGAAGGAAGGAAAGATGTCATTCAAGTATTTTCCAAATTCTTTTTATTGTGACTATATGCCCTTCACAACACTGTGAAAACAACCCCTGGGGGCATCTACTTTCCAGAATCTCTCTCTGGCTCCTCACCAGCTTGGTTTCCTCATGGGGAGTGTTTTATTTGGCCTCCCCTATCTGAGCTGCACACACACCAGGAGAGGCCACTGGCTAACAGGAGGACTTCAGTGCCCAGAGGAAAAGGCTTTGGGAATTTAGGCACACGTCTCTCCCCTTGGAATCCTTCTAGCATCTGGAAAAGGAACCAGGTATTTCTGCAGTTAGAAATCAGATGCAACCAGAACAGGCTTTCGAGTGCTGTGATTTCTTTCCTGGGTTCCCAAGGCTTGTTTCATCACAGACTGTATCTTTTTAAGGTTAAAAGTCTTAACCTACCTGGGGGTCTGGGACAATCTGATCTCCAAGCATGAAGGAAAGGCAATGCTGGACCACTGACTTGTATTGAAATCCTTTCTTGTGGGCTAGGGTTTGATGTCTCTTTTTGATCTTTGGACCGGGGATCTGTATGTTTCAGGTCCATTTAAGCACTGAAACTAGATGCGAATCTCTTTTGACACCTTACGTGTTTTAGATAGTCATGTAATGACTTGGATAGACATTTAAATAACTTGTTCCAAGGTCGGAAGAGCCCAGGAACTCCTCAGAGTTCCTCTTCTTGCTTCTTAAATCACATCCTCTAAAGATGACTCACGTCTCCATAGCAACTGTTAAAGGTGCTGCCTAGAAGGGACCTGCTCCCACCCTTACTTACTTTGTTCGAAGGAAGCAAAAGAATGTCCCTGTGTAAAGGGGCTGTCATGTCCAGTTTTCCTTTGAAATGTGGCCCCCAAGATCCTGCTTCTTTCTAACCTGGCAGCTGTCATGTCCCTTCATCATGATGTGGGCAATGGCCCTTATAACTTGGGAACCACAGAAATTGCTCTATTTCGGGAAGATTCACCTCTAAACTGAAGGCTCCATTCTGATAGTGTCTGCCCTCTCTACCCTGATTTCGCCCTTCTTTGCTTCCATCTTTAGCCCAAGGCTTTGAATTTGATTAAGACTTAGAGGCAGTATAAAGAACACCATGAACTCAGGCAGAGGTCCCTTAGGGTCTCTAGGGTTGAAAATAATTCTAGAGCCTTAGGGGGACCTCTTGGCATGGACTCCAAAGGGAGAGACTAGGCCCTGTGTCCTGGCATTTCAGTCCAGACCTTCAGGGGCTGTTCTCTCTTGACAGGCGAGCAAGCAAAGAAAATTTTGCAATAGATTTCAAGCCAGTTTTTCCATGCAAACCAAGATGCAAATTCATAAAATTATTCTTTTCCTGGAATAGATCCAGGCAGCTGCCTTACTAGGATTTTAGATTCTGATCCATTTTCTTAACACACATACACATACACATGCATACATACATATACAGAGAGATACATGGAGAAAGGAAATTTATCATTGAAATAGTTCAAGAAAGAGCTGTATTTTGCCTTTCTGTAATCTCCAAGATAATGTCTAGGAAAGTATTCGTATAACTATAGGGATACCGAAACAGGAAAAACCAGCCATCACTCTTGAGAAAGTTTGAGTTCAACTCACATGGGAGAATCGAGGTCTGCTACTCGTCTCACTTTGTGCCCTGTCTGTGCCCGGATGCCCTACTACATCTGCTTGACTCGTCTGGGCCGCCAGCTGGGGTATTGTGGCTGACATCCTTTCCCAGCCTTACACGCATAATGGACACATCCCTAATGTCGTGTGCCTGGTCCAGCCACATACAACCACCGCATGCCTCACACACCATCCCCCTCATCCATGTGGACTTGACTGTGGCATTTCAGCAGCTCCACTGGGATGCTCTAACCCCAGTGTGTGGAGTTGGGGTCCTTCATCTGGGTTGACCCAGGTGTAGCATTTTTAGCATTGCCTTTCCAGTCTTAAGGATTCATTCACTGAACTCATTTATTTCTGGAGCCCCTGGTACACTCCAGGCACTGTGCTAATTGCAAGCAAAGCACAATTGAACTAAACCCACCCTCGAGGAACCTAGCCATAGCGAGGGAGGCAGTGTGGAAGTACCCTACAGGGAAAAGTCCTGAGTGCTGTGGGAGCATCTCACGGTGGCAGCCAGCCCAGTTCTGGTAATCAGGGGCTTCCTGAAAGAGGTGATATCAAAGCCCAGATGTGTCAGAGGCCTGAGGGAGAGTGTTACTAGAGGACTTTCAGGCTGAGAGGACAGCACAGGACTCAGCCCAAAGGAGGGCCAGTGTGGACTGTCCAGGGCCGGCCTGCAGTACAGAGGCTGGGGCTTGGACTTGTAGAGGGAGAGAGAAGAGCAAGAGACAAGGACAGGACAGTGAGCCGGGCCAGCCACAGAGGGTTCCTGGGGCTTTGCCGGGGATTCAGGGAGCATAAATAAGAGCTTTAGGTGGTGCTGTGTCCTCTGCAGCCCACTGCTGAGGTCCTCCAGACAGGTAAGGTGTGGTCACGATCAGGGCCGGGCTTTCCCTCCTCACCGCGGCAGTGCACGGGTGCTTGCTGAGATGATTTATCCCAGGGTGTCCTCTGTCCCTTACCCAGCCCCAACTCCTCTTCCTCTGCCAAAAGCTATTTGAATTCAAGGACTTTAACCTGGGCTGGATCTGGTTTGGAGACATAAAGGGGACAGCTCTGGGTCAGCATGACCTTCTTTAGAGCCACCAAGGCTAAAAATACCTTTTGGGACCAGGCTGGCCTAGACCCAGGGATGAGAATGCACCCTAAAATAAATGTACGGGAAGCAGCAGAGGGCTTCCCTGTCTAGTGTGTG